TGACAAGGGTAGTATTAGAAAGTTTATTCCCTATTTAATGACCGGATTGCAACATGCATTACAAGATATTGGAGTTAAGAATATAGGTCAGTTATGGGAAAATGCTGAATCTGGTAAATTAAGATTTGAATTGAGAACCGTTGCTGCACAAGTCGAAGGTGGCGTGCATGGGTTATATTCGTGAGTATTGAGCAATTTAAAGTATAATGAATATTCATGAATATTCATGTAAATATTATTATTAACTATTTTCTATTTTTATTTTGCAAAGATTTGAAAAACGACTTTATTCTTAATACATTAACTACATTTATTTACGATGCATTTAATTTAGTAAATTTATCAAATATTAAATATTCGAAATCGGTTAATAAAGAATATAATAGTGTAAAAAAATAAAACGTAACAATAAAAAGTCAATAGAAACTGTATTGCTGTATATAATCAATCGTTCTTGTATTTGTGTATGGGTATTCGATCTTGTTTAAGTCTTATAACAAAAGAAATGGTTTTAGATTATCGAATCAAATTTTTGTACTAATTTATATACGAAAGAATAGTTTAATATTTTGAGGCTACTGTCTACATTTAATGTAATTCCGATTTGTTCGTTAATTGGGTTCGATGTTGTTAAACCTGGTCAAATTTTTTATATTGTATAGTCAATTTTTGCCATATTAAAAATTTGATGATAAATTTAGCGTTAGATGTGGTCACAATCATCACGTGTAACTTTTTTTTTTTTTTCGTTAGCGTTATTTAAATTACCGTGGTACATAATTTAAAAGTTTAACATCAATTTTTAACTTTAAGCCGAAAAAATCAATTTAACAATAAACTTTATTTTCAAGACAAGCATTAGTTATATATTCTTTTGGTAATGTACTGGGCAAGTGGTATAGCGAAAGTATTAGAGGTTCGATCGCCAGACTATAGTAAATTTAATGATTCGAAAACGACAGATCAAAATCCTGATACTAAATCTGGCCATTCAAGCGTAATTTTGAAACTAAAGCGCAACAAACTTGGAAACTTGTTTGTCACTTTAACTAAGAATTCCATACAGTTATGGGGTTTTAGGGTAAGGCATATAAGGTGATACTTCGAATTTGTCTTGTTAGCACCGAGAAAATGTTTCAAATTCTGCTTAGCTAGTCTCGAATTACAATTAAAAAAACACACTTTCTATTTCCATTTTATATTATAATATGAAGCCTACAGCGTTAATATCACAAGTAACTAGAACCATAAAATCAATTGAAGAGTATGGTGAAAATATCGACGTTTTTTGGAAGCCTGATGGAAATCTTATAATCGTTCAAGTAAGTTATTTCATTACCTCAACAAAAATTCTCATTCTTATCTGCCCATTTCGGTTTAATTAACATATATACCTTAATTTTTTCATAATTTTTTCCTAAATTTAATAATTAGACGAGTCAAAATTGCTTATTCACTTATACTGTTCTCCCTTTCGATGATAAAAGTTACAAATATCAATTTGGTCGTGTATCGCATCATTATGTCTCTGGTGCAGGGGAAGGCAATGGAATAAAAACATTTTTGTTAAAATTTAGAATGACTATTAGGATCGATGCTGGAATGGAGGCGTGAGTAGGTTTCTCTTTGCTTTTAAGATACGTCCAAGTTTTATATGAAATTTTCTTATGTCATTCACACTTAACTATATTAAAAGAAGAAAAAACACGCATATACTTATTTTTAATTATATTTATTGTTCTAATTGGGGTTTTTTTTCTTTTATGGATTTGACTGAATAGGGGGGTTGGAACGGACGAATATCTGATTGTCTCAACAAAAACTCCACCCGCAGTTCAGTGCATACCTTGGCTTGGTGAACCCAGCGGAACAAAAACAAATATATTGTCTCGATTGGAATTTCTAAAGTCTAAAGAAGGTTCGTAATTAAGCGTGAAATTTGTAATGAAGAGAATTTGATGAAACGTTAATTACTTTTGAAACAGTTCGAAGTTTTTATTTTTTCTTGGCATACAATGCATTATTTTTAAAATATTTATGATTTATTTATATATAGTCACAATTAAATTAATCGTGTTTGATCGACGAATCGATCTTTTTGGATGGATAACTTCTGATGGCAAAGCTTATGCTGTACAGTTTAATGAAAATGATACATCTGTAAGTACTAAAATGTTGGTTATTTAATAAGTGATTTTTTACTAGATGTTATATTCACTATTTATTTTTTTTATAAATAATAGGCAGAAAAAGTTGTCAAGACTCCAACGTTATATTGGACTGGATATTGCTTCCACGCAAGTGATGATCTTGAAACCGTTCCGAAGAATCGTGCTACTTGTATAGCTATTAATGCAAAATTTTCCTTAATTGCTGTTGGAACTGAAGGGTTAGTCTATTTAATAGATATATATGTATTAGCAAAGAAAAGATGCCTTGGTCAGTAATGATACCAAAAATGCTTACTATTTTTTTGTATATTTACATGCTTATATAATTTTAATCTGAAATGTTTTCTAGGGGAGCTATCTATGTATACTTTGCTAAGAATTATAATGGCGACATTTATTTTTCACATAAATTATCTATATCTGAGTCCTTGGAATCTTTTAATATCCTTTCATAAATCCATATCTCAATGCCAAATTTTTCACAATGTATTGTTTTATATCCTTAACAACGATTCACCTATCTCTGCAGGTTCCGTGACATCACTTGCTTGGACTTCTGATGGTTATGCCATTGCTGTGGGGTGGCAAAATGAAGGAATGGCCGTTTGGAGTGTTTACGGTCGACTGTTGATGACAACTGTCAGAGATGATTTACCGCAATCGATGTATGTATAGAATATGATTATCTTTTTGTTCATTTTTTTAGGATGTAGAATAATTATAAAATTTTCTAAATTTTGTTTATTTTATATCGTAAAAGCTCAACGTGCAAAGATGCATTTTTACATGGTATTAACGACTTGGTATGTGTAATGTAATTATTATTGTTCCCCTTGGAGTTAAATGAAAATACATATACGAAAATGGTATCATTTCCTATTTTGTAGTTCTGGAGTTCTGGAAATTGTGAGCTCTTTTTGTTGCATAATGCAAAGTCTGAAAATGGTAAATACTTCTTTTTATGAAATTACTATTAAATTTTGATGCAAGAATAATGGGAAAAATTTTTTTGTGTTATAGACGATCAATTATATACTCTTCCATTTGCTAAGTCCGCTGTAACAACGATCCACAGTCCAGTTAAGTTTGTAATATTATGTATTAATGATTTCCTTGTTTAAATTTATAATAATTGTTGAATTGGTTTCAATAGGATAATACAAAAAGAGGATTTTTACAAATGGATGACCGTTTATTGCTTTATCGTGGCGGTGATCAAGAAGATCTTAGCGCCATTAATCCTGACACTATAGTTTGGCAGCACATTCCAGTATGTGAAGAATATCAAAATTAATTGACCAGGATTTATTAGAAATCTTAATTATAATAACTTTTTTTTTAATTCATGTTTTTAGGTACCGATCATGTATATCAGCGAAAATTGGCCTATAAAGGTATTAATATATCTATTGAACGCATTTTTATCTTATTTATTATATTTTTTTATAATTCTTTTTCCGTTTTTTTCATTTTAAATGTTTAGTATGCATCTATAAGTAGCGATGGTCGGTACATTGCAGTTGCTGGTAGACGTGGATTGGCGCATTATAATGTTACTTCTGGTCGTTGGAAGCTATTTGGCAATCAACAGCAGGTTTGCAATAATCGAAATTTATATTAATTCTACGTTTATAGGAACTCATGCCTATCGAATTAAATATTATAGGAACAAGAATTTGCGGTTCGTGGTGGATTGTTATGGTTCAAACAGTTTTTGGCTGCTGCATGTGAAAATGTTCGAACACATACGTATGAGGTACTACTGCAATTTTTTTTTTAAATCCACCGAAGAATTACAGAAAAATCTTTAGATGTTGTATACGTTCAGTTGTTGATTATTAAAGTAAATTGATTTTTAATTAGATCAGAATGTATTCACGCGAAACAAACTTGGATAATATTCACATGATTCAGCTTATCAAAATACCTAGTAATATATTGTATCTTAGCATCGTGGATAATGCACTACTTGTTTACTGTGGGGATAATATGATGTATCATTATCTTATGACCATATTATCACCTCATGACAATGGAGGTATCAAATCAATTTCAGTTGAATTGTGCCAACAAATTTCTTTTGTCGGCGTGATTCATGCCCCAACAAGAGTTAGTTCTATCTCATGGTTTCAACCCAAATTGCATAGTAAGTTCAACAAGTTTTTGAACTCTACTTTGCCTAAAATTTTTGACACTTCATAATAACCAGTGTGTATATATATGTGATAGGACCTTTCACCCCGGATACTATTCAGACTGCTTCAATAATATTTCTTATAGATGGAAAACTAGTCCTGTTGTATCCTAAAAAGGTTTGCACAATCTGATTTTCATATTTGTGTTCACGGTCTTTGTCAATATTTATATATATTCATATATTCATTTCTCTTTTCAGAGTGATGAAGGTGAGGTACAATACGACCTACACATTCTCGCTGATAAAATTGAGTTTTATTGGATGTCCACACGTGGAATTGGCAGTTTGAAAAATTCCTTATGGGCTTGTGATAGTCAAGGCGTTAAGGTAAAAAAAAAAAATTATGGTTGAATTAAGAGTAATCGAAATATGTAATTTTTTAATGATTTGTATTTTCTTTAGATATGGATGAATATATGGTCCAACGAAGAAACTGCGAAAGATTGGCAATCAGACGTTTTATTATCAGCAACAAAAGAATCTTTGCGTATAAAATTAGAATTTTATCCTTTATGTGAGTCTATCGTATTAAACATAGTGATAACTTTTTGAACCGTTTATTACATACCTAAATAAATATTTATGTTTCGTGAATGTCTGTGACATTGTTTATTTAGCCGTATTGCTTGATAAAGGCATTATCGTTGGCGTTCAACAACAAACTTCTTTCAGACAATCTCTTGAGTTTACTATTTTCAAATTAATGACAAACGTGAGTTTATTGATTTATTATTCATTTATTTACGCAAAACGTAATCAGATGTATAATATTTACTTTTCTGATTTATAAATTTACAATTAAAAATGCTACAGACTCATTTATTCTTACAACATATCCTTCGTTATATGTTAACAAAAGAGTACATACTACATTTATATTATATTTTATTTTTCAAATCACATTGTCAAAGTAATATTTATTATAATATTAACATTTTCAGTCTCGAAGGAGAGTCAGTCGCTTTTGCAACAAGTTACCAAGGGCTGGTATATTTTGGGCATGCGTTAGAGATGCTTTTACATCACGTTTTAGAAGATGAAGCGGATCATGCCGTTCAAACAGAAAAAGGTAGTTTAGATAGATCATTGTAATTATATTTGATAGTATATGTAATGGGTGTATAATTAATTTATTATTTAAATTACTTTGATTTTGATTCGGTATTTCATCATAAAAACATGCAGTTGGCGTGTTACCACGTGTTGTAAAATTCATCAATCATTTCCCGCATGCGCTTGATGCTATTGTAGGCTGTGCGCGTAAAACCGAGGTTGCTTTATGGGATTATTTATTTTCTATTGTGGGAAGTCCAAAAGATTTATTTGAGGTAATAATTAATTATATAATGTAATGTCTTTTAATCAATACTAATTCACTTTGGCATTTTAGAAATGTATGGAAACCGGATTACTCAAAACAGCCGCATCTTATCTACTTGTTCTTCATACACTGGAGCCCATTGCTGATAGTAGCAAAGTTTGTATAATACATTTATTGATATTTTTATTTTTTTATTTTTTTTTACAAATTTTTGAATTCTTTTTTAGGATACCATAAGATTGTTATCTAAGGCTATGGAAGCTGAAGATTATGATGTGAGCAATTTTTTAGCATTAATTATATATGTACAGTAAATCCTCGACTTAACTCAAATTTCATTTTACTAGTTATGCAAAGAACTCGTAAGATTTTTGAATTCTATAGATGGTACGCTCTTTTCATTACATTTCACTTTCTGCTATTTATTATTAATTATTAAGCATTGCCTTATCATGCTATTTAGGGTCGGGTAAAACTCTGAAAGATGCGTTATCAACAATCCAAATGCATCGCTAGTTTAATCCAGTATACAATATTTTTTTCTAATTATCTAACATGTCAATCAAATAAAATGTCTTTCAGGAATGATTTTTTTTTATTTAACAACAATCATTTTATTATATATATTTGTCAAATAATTTAAATATATATATTATACAATAACAAGAAATAATAATGGGTGTCTCCTAAAGAAATTTATAAAAATGCTTCTAGTATTTTAAATATTAATGAAAAAAAAACAACTTTCTAAATAAAACTATTATTAAAAACATTTATATATCATTTGTAAAAGAAATGAGTGTATTTCGACTTAAAAAAAAAAAAAACTTTTAAAAAGTAACTTGTATAAATGAAATCATACCGTCGTAGTCTTTCAGTCTTAAATTATCGATTGTAGGCTACTGACCAGGGCACAAAATTTCCGGGTGATGTAACTTGCCTTTTTTTTCGGTAAACGAAATTTAGAAACTCCTGCAATATTTACAGCTGTTTCATAAATTCTGGGACCTGGGACCCGTAAAATTTTAGTTTTAAAAACTCGAAATTTTTTCTGATAACAAAAAATTTAGGCAAAATTTAGTTTAAATTTAATAAATTTTAGATAAATTTTGATTTAAATTTAATAAATTTTAGATAAATTTTGATTTAAATTTAATAAAGTTTAGATAAATTTTGATTTAAATTTAATAAATTTTAGATAAATTTTGATTTAATTTAAAAAATTTATAGGTTCATTCTTTTTTTATTAACATACAACATTGTAAGAATTTTCAATAAATTAGTATTTAAATTTTGCTGATTGTTTTAAAGAACATTATTATAAGAACACAAGTTTGTAATTTAATTTATTGCAATCCTGACCAAATAATTAGGAATAAGTTTACGTCTCTAGATCATGGCATCAATATCCAATACAAACTAATCATATACTGTATATATGTCTTAGAAGTTAAATAAGTTTGTATAAAATTTTTATTATTAAAAATAGGTAAATCAAAGATTTTTTGAATCTATTGCGCAGGATGTGCAACCTGCACAGGCCCACATTATGGTAGTTTGATGCTAATACAGGCCAAAATTGTAAAATTCTGAAATCTTCCGAAATTCAAAATATTTCACCTTCCCAACGTATCACAAACTATAATGTAATATGGAAATTTTTAGAAAATTTTAGTTAAATTTGATAATTTTAGATATAAATTCTCTAGAATTTAGAAATTTTAGAAAATTTGAGTTGATACTTAAAATTTTAGATTTTTTGTGAAAATTTTAGATCTAAAATTTTACGGGTCCCTGTCTGGGACATATTGACCGACCGAATATTTGCTGATTTGATAAGTTTGTGATTTTGGCAATGGTCACTGCCGAATCAAAACTTATTGAATCGGCAAATATTCGGTCGGTCAATTTTTTGCCAGATATACAGACCTCCGGTATTTTTGTCCGAAGCGTAGCGAGAACTTATATGTATGTACATACAAGTAAAACTTAAAAAATGTCTGTCTGTCCAGTACATAACTTAATTGTGATTGGTTGATGATCTGCACATACTAGAGGCCTGAGCAGAATTTTGTCTGTCTGTCCGCCCACGTGACTAATCACATAAATGATTGGACAATTTAAGATGATCTGCACATACTACAGTCTTGGATATTA